AGCCCTAAAGCCTAAACCTCTAAACCATTGAAGCGAACCTTGAGCCTCACGCTATATTTTGAACCCAGAGCCGGCAACTGCACCTTGAACCCAACCTTTACTGGGTTCTTGTTCAGGGTTTTAATTTAAGTTACCATAATAAGGAAACCATATTATTTACTATAGATCCCTATTATGGTAACTTAAATTAAATCCCTTAACAAGAACCCAGTTTAAGCCTCAGGCCTATACGGGGAAGTTCTCGAACTTCGGGTCCCTCGTTAAGGGTCCTTTTTTGAAGGGTGCCGCGAATTGTTTTCGGGACCCAAAAAGGGACCCGAATTTCGAGAACCAGCCATACACACCGAACGTCAAAATCCGAGGAGTCCACCTGGAAGTCGTTGAGAAATATCCCATGGTACCCCACGTTTAGGGTTTAGGGTGGATTCCCTTCGTGGGTGCGGGCCCAGCTTTCTGAGTTGATTTATATTAAGGGCTGCAATATTCAGATACTTTTCCTGCAGTGTTGTAGTACAGTATATCCCACAAGCCTAGTCTAGTTGTTAAGGCCCTGCCGTGTGAAAAGGCTTTGGATTGTCCCTCAAGAATCCAAAGAGGATGACCTCTTCCGATCAGAGCAAGATTGCCAGCGAGTGTGCTTCCTGTCTGATCCAAGCATGGGGTGTGGGATTCTGCACAGATTCCGCAACATTCCGTATAAGGCCCAAACCCCTAACCACATAGTCTGAAGATATATCACGCACTAGACGGATTCTCCAAGTATGCCTCGGGTTACTGTAGGAGTGTTGGATTCAGGGACTCAGTAATTAAGTAGGGCTGTTTGTTTGTTATACCCGGATGTATTCACTTTTCAAAAAGAAACGTTAAACCAAAGCCAAAAACCTCAACGCCTCAACGCACGGCCCTTACTGAACCCCAGTCCTCCAAGTACAGGAAACAACTTTCAGCAGACTATAGTCAACGTAACGTGAACAGCCTCCGGAAACAGCACCGGTTTGGGGCGTGGGGGCTGCTTCGGGTTTGAGTTTTCAAGGGGATTCAGCGTTTAGAGTTTAGGGGTTGGGGTTTAGGGTTTATGGTTTGCCAGTTAGGGTTTGGAGGTTTAGGGTTTAGGGTTTTTTTGACATAGGGTAGTGAGAGTGGGTGGGTCTGGCACGTCCGGGGTGTCTGGCACCAACTCGGATGGCCCCAAACACTAAGCCCTAAACCCTAAGCTCCATGAGGACCGGGCGCACTAACACGGTCACCGAAGAGATCCGGGAGCTGTCAAAGGTTGCGGGTCCGGCAAAGAGCTCGCGACTGATGAGGAGGATGGAAGCGAAGTTTCAAGGCCCCTGTGCCCATGGGAGTCCAATGAGAGCACGTACGAGGAGCTCCGCCATTGCTTGGGCTCTGAGCTTGCTGGTCATCGATTTGGCACCAGGAAGCGGAGTCCTTTGCACTGTTGCAAAATCAGGAAACCTTATTATGTGTGCCTGTGTATATATATATATATATTTATAGACACATACACACACGTTGAGAGAGAGAGAGAGAGAGAGAACAAACAAAGCAGGTACGATACATGCGTGTACAAGCATATAAAAACATATTATGTACATATATATATATATACACATGTACATGTACAGATACATACATATGCATATTCACACACGTCTACATGAAAAAAACACCCTACCCTTTTGGGGTCCTCATTAAAGGATGCCTTCATTAAGATCTCTTCGGAATCTCTGAGCTCAAGGCTTAAGCCTTTCTAATCAGCATACCATGTATGGAGCCCTAGCATATGCCCTCTAATACCCTTTAAAAGAGCTCTACGTGAGCATGGCTTAAGCTGGGAATTGCAAAGGCTCCCACTTCAGCGATGAGCTGCAGAAGAAGGTGGGCCTCTTCGTGGATGTGCAGGAGAACCTGAGCTGGGGGTTGACACACTGCGCTCCAAACCCTTTTGAAATTGATTAGGGTTGAGGGTTTAGGGTTTAGGGGTTTAGGGTTTAGCGTTTAGGGTTTAGGGTGAGGGGTTTAGGGTTTAGGGTTTAAGGGTTTAGGGGTTTAGGGAAATCCCTAGATCAGATCTTAGGGTTTTCCGTTTTGGGCCTTTGCCTTTAGGTTTGGCTTTTGGGGTTCGGGTTGAGACCACGGCTCAGGTTTTGAACACAGGCCTGGTATAGGTATATGTATATGTACACACACACTATATACATATATACACATGTACACATACATACATACATACATACATACATACATACATACATACATACATACATGCATACATGCACAACTACATACATACATACATACATACATACATACATACATACATACATACATACATGCATACATTACTTACATTTTATTAGTTTACATTACATTGCACAACATGAAATTTCATTACACTACATGAACCGCAAACTTAGAACTTAGGGGTTTAGCGTGTCTTAGGGTTGGTTTAAAGATGAGAGCTAAAGTAAAGGTGTCTTTAAGGTTCTCGGTATGACTGAGCATGTTCTCATAGATGGTACCCGACACTCACTGCTAGCCTGAACCCAAGCCAAGCACCCAATCATTAGCTATCTTGGATCCCAGGCTGTAGATCCGGATACCTTTGTACACTCTGCAACCCTAAACCTCCACCTACACCCTAACCCTAAGCCCTGAACACTAAACCCTAAGTCCTTGTGCGTCGAGGACGCCTTGAGCGTGTCGCACGAGAAGACAGACGAGAGGGGTATGAGGCAGCCCACGGAGCCCATTGTTGTGTAAAATCTTGCTACCTTAATAAATGTACGGTTTTGATAGGAAACTAATATAGGGGCCGAAATATTTACTGATACTACATTGGTGTTCCGTCTTATAATTGTAGTATAACGGACCCCAAACCCCACTCTAACTATTAAGGCTTGTATTAGTCTTTCATCGGGCTTTTGGGTCGGAGGGTTTTCCGGTGTGTGGTGAGTTCAGGGGGTTACGATGAAGGTCCGGCTCGAGGCTGCAGAGATCCGGCTGCAGGGTTTAGGGTTTGGGGGGGAGAGCTGGATTTAGTAAGGTTTAGGGTTTAGGGTTTAGGGTTTAGGGTTTCGGGTTTCGGGTTTAGGGTTTCGGGTTCAGGTGGGGAGAGCTGGGTTTAGGGTTTCGGGTTCAAGGGGGGGGGGGGGGGGGGGGTCTAGGGCCTCTAGGGTTTAGGGCTTAAGAGCTGCTTCATGGAGGATGTCCTAGCATGGAAGCCCTTGAGTCTAAACCCTAAGCCATTCCAGGGATACTGGCCAAGAAGAGCCCTGTTTAGGGTTTAGGGTTTAGGGTTTAGGGTTTAGGGTTTAGGGTTTAGGGTTTAGGGTTTCTGCTTGCCGCGCCAGGGAGAGGGGCATCTGCTTCGAGAGGGGCTTGATCTGTCGAAGCCGCTAAGGAGCTCAGAACTTTGCATACCTTATCCCGTAACACCGTTGCATCCTAAACCCTATAAACCCTAAACCCTAAACCGACAGGATCCGGCGAGCTGTTTCAAGAAGACGGCGTGCTCGGGAAGCTTTGTGTTTGAACTCGAAGCCGTAATGTCAAGAAAATGCTATATACATGATAAGACGAGTTTAGGAAACCCTAAACCTCAACCCCTTCGCAACCGAACACCCGAGAATCCTACGCCTCAGAAGCCCGGTAAAGGCATCTAAAGCCGCAGTTAAGCCCGACAAAATCTCAATGAAGCACCACGAAACTCTTAAAGCAGCCCTATAATGCGAGGTGAAGCCCTTCTAAAACCCTTGGGTTTAGGGCTTAGGGTTTAGGGCAAACCCCTCCCAAACCTCAATGAAACCCCGGAGCCAACGCCACAGAGGCCGTCAGTTAAGCGGTTGAACAACACCCTGGCCCGCATCTGCACTCAGCAGCTGAAGTCTGAGCCGCTCCTGGCGAAAGTGAAGGCCGGGGAGAGGGGGGAGGCTTTAGGGTTTTGGGCTTATAGGGTTTAGGCTGGTTTAGGGTTTAAGAGTTTAGGGTTTAGGGGCTTCAAGGGGTTTGGGATTTAGGGGTTTAGGGGTTCAGGTTTAGGGTTCAGGGCTTCAGCGGTTTGGGGTTTAGGGTTTGAGAGGGCAGGGGGGCGAACAGAAACCCTGGGGTTTAGGGCTCAGGGATATGCGGGTTCAGGGTTTCTGAGCTCATCCTTTTCGGTCCTAAGGGCTGAGTAACACTAGTCACGCCGGTTCTCGTATCATATGAGTACAAATATCCACCCATGCAGACCCTGTTCTAATCATAAGGGCACCAAAATCTGCCCTCTGAAGCCAAGAGATGCGGGAGGAGATTATAGAAGACGACCTGATGCGGCATCTCCAGGAGTGGGAGACTCCGGGCAGCCGAAAAGGGGGTTTAGGGTTTAGGGTTTCAGGGTTTTAGGGTTTAGGGTTTAGGGTTTAGGGTTTAGGGTTTAGGGCTTCAGGGTTTAAGGGTTTAAGGTTTTAGGGTTTAGGGTTTCAGGGTTTCAGGGTTTTAGGGTTTAGGGTTTAGGTGGACAGTGGGGTAGGCAGGCGGCGAGCACATGGCTTGTACAAATTGCCTAAAGAGCTGAATTCCTACGCCTGAACCGAAGAGACAGCACTAAATCCAACATGCACCTCAGATGGCTGCGAATGCCCGAAGCCCAAGCTTTTTAACTTTACTCTTGTGACAGATTGTAATGAGTATTTGCATTCTATGACAACCCTTAGTCTTTACATAGGCACCGAAAGCCCTAGTATTGCATCACAAGCCGAATAGTCTTCCTTAAGGCTCTTGAAAGTCGTTACTATAGTATGATGTAACCCAAATGCTTTGTTCAAAGTGTCAAGGCCCCTTAGTAGAGCCCTTGTAGTGGCCCTTAGAGTAACCCTGAAACGGCACTCTTTAAAGGAATCCTTCAAGGAATCCTAATCCCTAAACCCTAAACCCTAAACCCTAAGCCCCTATATCGTAATACCCAGGAAACAGGGGCTGGACTCCAGCCATGCACTGGTTCGACGCTTCTTGTGGGTCGTGGCCGGGCATCGAAGGCAACTTTCCTGGGGTGTAAAACCCTAAACCCTAAACCCTAAACCCTAAACCCTAATCCCTAAACCCTAAACTAGATGGTGGTGGGGGATCGACTTGGTAAGGGCCACAGCAGTCTCGTGATTCCAACGTCTGGTGGTGTCTCCGTTGCCTTGTGTTTGGGTGCAGGCTGCTGCGACGGCCGTTGCGTGTTTCTCGCTTTGGTGTTGGTGAGTCTGGAGTCTTTCTTCGACCAGCATGGGGAATCGACTGGTTCGTGGCTTCCTTCTTGATGGGTTTGGTCGTTGACACATGGCAGCCTCGAGTGGGACGTTGACGAAACATTGATTATTATTAATACTGTTGGTATCGCTCTCATAATAATTATGACTATTGTTGTTTTATTTATATTACAGTGCATCTGCGGTATCCTCATACCCAAAGCGAGCCCCAAGTCATACGCCCTAAGCCGTACACCTCTTTGCCCCCACATAAACCCGACGACGCCGAAGCCCTATACGACGCTATACCCCTTAACCCCAAACCATAGAACCCTAAACCATTCAGCCCTTCTTGCATCGACCTTGGACAGAAGACCCATGTCGGCTCTTTCTTGAAATGCAAGCATGATGAAATCACTATGTACATGTGCTATAACATGCGAAACCCGATTGCAGCAAGTCCAGCGAAGGCCCGTTGAAACCCAACTCAGATTGTGCTGCCTGTCTCTCACTTTGTACGGGGTTTGGCCCAAACCCCAAACCCAATAGGTTTCGTATCAGCATTCAGTCCCTGCACGAAGGCCGCTTCAAGTCTGTTATGAACCCTAAACCCTAAACCCTGAACCCTCTCACGTAGGCCACACTGATGATGAGTTGGTACCATGTCGAGTGTTTTTCTGCTGCTTCTACCATGATGCGTACTTTTGGTTTAGGGTTTTGAGTTCGCCGATATACTTCTCTTGCAATGGGCAAATAGAGCCCGACATTCTTCAGACCAGTCTCACTACCAGCCTCCTAAACCCCGCTACTGAGGAGAAGCTAGGCGTGTGTTTCATAAATACGCTGAGCCCTAAACCCTAAACCCTATAACATTATAGTAGCTGAACCCTAAACCCTAAACCCCGAAACCCTTAACCCTAAGCCCCAACCCCTAAGCCCTAAGCCCCAAACCCTGAACCCTAAACCCGAAACCCGAAGCCCTGAAGCCTGAACCCCTAAGTCCTACTTTAAGAACCCAAAACCCACTTTTTTGTAGATTCTTCTTATAGGCCCTAATATGGGATTTATAGGGACCCTACAAAAAAGTAGGTTTTGGGGTTCTTAATAAGGTACACCCTAAACCCTAAACCCTAAACCTAAACCCTAAACCCGAAACCCGAAGCCCTCAAACCTGAAGCCCTAAGCCCTAAACCACAAACCCTAAACCCTGAGCCCTACACCCTAAACCCTAAGAGGCTCCGCATCCGAAACCTCTTTGAGAAGCGGCCAACCCTGCTTTGGGACGGCACTGCAGGGGCCGCTCGGCTAGGACGTTTAGGGTTTAGGGCTCAGGGTTTAGGTTTGTGGTTTAGGGTTCAGGGTTTAGGGGTTTGGTTTGTGGTTTATGTTTAGGGTTTAGGGTTTGAGGGTTCAGAGTTTAGGGTTTAGGGCTTCGGTTTGTAATATAGGGGCGTAAATAACTACCTGTATTATTTTTTGGGAAGGTTCCTTATAATAATTATAGTATACTGGCACCCAAAACCCGATTCTGATTATTAAGGCCCCTACATTAGTGCTTGGAGGTTTAGGCTTTGAGATTTGTTTGATTGATGTCGACAGGGGCGTTTTGGAAGTTAAGGATTTAGGGTTTAGGGTTTAAGCGATGGTTGAGGTGTTTTGGGAAATTGTTTGAAAAGATGGGTGTTATAATGGCTTGAGTTGAGGTAGCACGCACGTTGTAGCTTATGTACCCATGTACATGCCAGCAGACACACTAGCCGCTGGCAGCCTTCGGCAGCGCACCAATCCAAGAAGTAGTAACACCTTAGGTTGCAACTAAAAATCGAAAACAACCTGTTGATCTCTAATATGAAACCCTTAAACACCAAACCTCTGAGCCATAGATCCGAAGCCTGGCCTACACTCTTCATCGCATAAGCACACCGAAACCTCGAAGCCTGAAAACCTCGAAAGCGCTTCAATCTCTCACCCTCAAAGCTCCGAGGTTTGGGGTTTAGGGTTCTAGGGTTTAGGGTTTAGGGTTCTTGTGTGTTTCGTACTTTCTATGTGCTGTTCAGTAGACCTGGTAGACTGCGGTTGTGCCGCGCACAACGCTCACTTAGCAAAGCCCCAATCCCCAGAAGTTCAATACCAGCCAAGACACCTTACTTAGGTCCTCAACGGGAGAACTTTAAACTTTTTGGCCTTCTATATTAGGTCTATTTGAAAAAGTTTTAACTTTTTTGGGCCTGGTTGTTGAAGAAGCGAGCTTAAGAACGGTAAAATCATAGGAGAGAGCAGTCAAGCAAAAGCACAAAGCCATGATGCCTTCCTGAGGGTGTCTCCTTTGGCCGTCCTTCGAAACTCTCTACATTTCCGAGGTAGTATTAGGGAGACCCTTAAACGGGGACCCTTCTGAACCCTACTTATCTGGCTGGCTCTTCCCGATGAGCAA